CTTTACTTAAGCTATGACATGTGAGATTCTATGATTGAAAATTTATAAAAAATAAGGCAAGAGGGATGATGAAGAATCATTCATTTTGTAATGTGGCCCATACTATTTTAATAGATCGATGGAATAAGAGCAACAAAACAATTCATTGTTTGGCGCATTCCCTCAATCCAAACTTAGTTCCTTACCTTTTTTTAACTAAACTTTTAGTGGTTACTGCTTGGTTCATTCACTAAAGTTTTTTTTAATATCTTTTAGGTATCATAGTGCATAATGGCTCACCAGAGCACCAAACCGAATTGCACTACACAAGGATCTTGAAATCTCTAATGAAAGATCTAAGTGTTTGAGGAGGTACTTTCCAAATTATAAAAAATTACAAATGATGACCATCGAATTTGCTAAAATTTTCGCCTCATCGGATGCATTTTTGAACCATGAGTCCTTGTATGATAGGTGGGAAATGGATGCCCAATCATGGTGGACTATTTGTAGGGCTTTTGCACCCATGTTACACCAATTGACATTGAAATTGCTTGGGAATCTATGTTCTACAAATCTACGCCCTCTCAAGGAAATCCCTAAAAAACATTCGAAGAGTATGGAAATGATGATGGCCAAGGAACGGATTCTATGCATGTTGGTCCAAATTAAGATAGAATGTGCTTGCAACATTTTGGTGGTAACTTGTGGTATTTTGGGGCAATACTTGTCATATTATGGGGATACTTGCAACATTTTGGATATAGTTTTAACTTTTGAGAGCATAATTGTAAATTTTATATGTTGAAGGTGACTAGTTCCTGAAAATCAAATTTTATCTTTTATATATGATATTTACATGTATCTATATTACAAGAGTCGAGAGTCATTTGTACAATTTGATCCATTTCTCTCTAGATTGTCATCTTCACTCTCTTCCACACTATCATGTTTTCTTCAATACTACAAAAGTTCATTATGCTCCAGTTTATTAATTCATCACCTACAACGTGCACTTCAAGTTAGTTGCTCATTTATAATCTATATGTGAAAAGAAATATAACAAATGTAAACGGCGGGCACGCGTACGTGTGTGGGTGCGTGTGGTGCGCGCGTGCGTGCGTGTGTGTCTAGACGTGTATACGTACCTTATCATTTATAAATTTGTCTGTTTCCCTGACCCGTATCCACACAACATAGGTTGTAAGCTTCATTGGAAGGCAGGCATTAAGGAATAAACAATTGAGTTATAAGAATTCCCTCGAGCATGTAAACTGCTTGTGTTTGGCATGGGTGTGAAGCCTATTCTTTAAGTGTGAAGCCCGTCTTTTATCATAAGCCCTCCAATTATTCTATCAATCAAAATCCACTTCACAAAACATTTTAACCATTTATCCTCATCCAAAGATCTCACCATTCAAAACTAAAAAAAAAAATGCAAAAACCCCCAAAACCGGAACAACCCCATTTTCTTGTGCTGATTACTGCTCATTTTATGACTAACTATACTGTTCAGTCCATGAAAATTAACTTATCTTACTATTTATTGAGTGAACAGTAGCTCATTTATTGTTCGTCACTGCTTTATAGTCACTTTTGCTTTCTTATTCGTAGTTGTTGAGATTTTTTTAGTTATTGTCCTACTTGTTGACCTCGACTATTAATCAAGTAACTTACTAATGCTCTTAAATCAGATCCAACGATTTGTTCAAAATCATGTACAGATCAAAGCCTTTCGGCCGTTCCCCATCATTTGGTATTAGAGCCGTAGGAGATCCATCATGACATCGGCAATGCATCAATTCATCAATGCTATGCAATTTTAGAGTTGAGGGCAAGTTTCTTCAAGAAGGGGAGATTTGATGCAAAACATATTTAGATTTGAATTTGGAAACAGATTTGATGAAAGACTGGATTTGATTTAGTTCAATTAGGATTAGCTAAATTAGTTATTAGGATCTAATCTGATGTTATATTCTTTTAGTTAGGATGTTATTTGATGTCTCTCTTTTAATTAGGAATTTTTATCTTAGTTTTTCTATAAATAAGATTGTGTTTACAATTTGAGAAGGATGAGAGAAGAATGTTTGTGAGAAACCCTATATGTGAATTGTTTGTGAGAAACCACATATGTGAATTGCAATTAGTATTAGGCATGCAAGTTGCCAGCATGTAGAGTGTTTGGGTGTGAAGCCCACGTTTGTATCTTTTTCTTTATTAAGTAAGAATATAATTTTACTAAATAAATAAATAAAAGAAACTGAAATAAAATCTCTATTAAATAAAATCTCAAAGATCCTAAAGATTCTAACATCATATCTTAAGGAAATCCTACCTAAAATAAAGATCTCATCGAATATTAAATTATTAATAAATAAAAAATATATTGTAATTGATCATAAAACCTTCTGATGAGCGGTCCACAATCCTCATGAATCAATTAAGCTAAGGCATGGAACTTTAGTAACCTTATATGTTTCTTTTGCTTCCTATTCAAGCTTTTAAATGCTCCATTTTTCTTGTTCTTATTCCCTCTCTCACCAGGTATTTTATTTCCTTATGGGTAAAAAATTGGTTGAAGTTCGTAATAAAAAAAAAGTTTTCCAAAACTGAGTTGTCTGAATTTTCAATTAATAGTTAGTTAAGTTGTAAATGGACATCTTTAAATGGTCTAGCAATATGACTTTGCTGTTTGAATGCAGTGGATCTATTACCTGGGTACATGGTTGAATAACCCACAAAAGTATTAGAACGATATGTTTATGACTCCAATGCTTGGGCGGATCTTACTAGTTTCAGTAGCTTCTGGTCTGAGATATTGATAAAGTGATACAAAGATGATTAGGCATTCTGTTATTATATTTGTTTTTCCTAGCATATGTTGACAGATGCAAGTATTATTCGGATATTGGATTTAACATCCATGTTTGATGGAAACTAATTCAGCCTATGATTTATGGGAATACTTACCAAGAGAATATTAAATATGACTAATGATGGGGATATGAAAAAGTGCTCAATCTTTAATCTAGCTCCTACTTATGTTAAATTAGGTGTAACATATAAAACAATACCATGATGTTACATAGTGGAATCTTTTGTATAGTTTCTCTTTAACCTAGACGAGATGTCCTTATACATTTGGATATTTTGAATAGTTTTCCAGTATTTGTATATCCATATTCCATTTTTAAACAGATGGATATTAGATACTCCGCATTTGCCAAAATATGGATACTGAATCAGTTTGTTTTCCAATTTATTTCCTTTTCAAACCTTATTATGGTTAACCTAGACGAGATGTCCTTGTACATTTGGATATTTTGAATAGGTTTCCAGTATTTGTATATCCATATTTCATTTTTAAACAGATGGATATTAGATACTCCGCATTTGTCAAAATATGGATACTGAATCAGTTTGTTTTCCAATTTATTTCCTTTTCAAACCTTATTATGGTTAGTTTCAGTAGCTTCTGGTCTGAGATATTGATAAAGTGATACAAAGATGATTAGGCATTCTGTTATTATATTTGTTTTTCCTAGCATATGTTGACAGATGCAAGTATTATTCGGATATTGGATTTAACATCCATGTTTGATGGAAACTAATTCAGCCTATGATTTATGGGAATACTTACCAAGAGAATATTAAATATGACTAATGATGGGGATATGAAAAAGTGCTCAATCTTTAATCTAGCTCCTACTTATGTTAAATTAGGTGTAACATATAAAACAATACCATGATGTTACATAGTGGAATCTTTTGTATAGTTTCTCTTTAACCTAGACGAGATGTCCTTATACATTTGGATATTTTGAATAGTTTTCCAGTATTTGTATATCCATATTCCATTTTTAAACAGATGGATATTAGATACTCCGCATTTGCCAAAATATGGATACTGAATCAGTTTGTTTTCCAATTTATTTCCTTTTCAAACCTTATTATGGTTAACCTAGACGAGATGTCCTTGTACATTTGGATATTTTGAATAGGTTTCCAGTATTTGTATATCCATATTCCATTTTTAAACAGATGGATATTAGATACTCCGCATTTGCCAAAATATGGATACTGAATCAGTTTGTTTTCCAATTTATTTCCTTTTCAAACCTTATTATGGTTAACCTAGACGAGATGTCCTTGTACATTTGGATATTTTGAATAGGTTTCCAGTATTTGTATATCCATATTTCATTTTTAAACAGATGGATATTAGATACTCCGCATTTGTCAAAATATGGATACTGAATCAGTTTGTTTTCCAATTTATTTCCGTTTCAAACCTTATTATGGTTTTGTTCTAACTTTTGAGAAGTGGAAGCTTCTTTCCCACAATTACTCAATAGTTCATTGCACACTCTTATAATGATAAGGATGTTGATTATCCTTGAAAATGTTATAGCCAGCATGTGGACATTTCTTTATTCCTTAGATTTTAAGTTATTTATTAGAAACATCTTGGGGGAGTGGTTCAGAAATGCGCAATTATCTTAATTATTATAGCTTGTCCATCTTTATATATAAGTACAAGTTCCGTTCCTCCCATAAATATTTTCTGGGTGAATGCATTATGGTTGAGAATCAATGTCTTCCATTATACTTTTGGCTCTGTCAGTCTTCAGTGTCATGGAAAATTTTCAATTTGTGGCTCTGAGTTTTTTTTTTTTTTTGCTTTTTGTTTGGTTTATGTTTTGATATGTTATGTTTTATGTTTTTTTTGTGAACATTACTTATTTTCTGTCTGCTGCCTATAATATGGGAAATTTTGGACTGCTGACTAGCAGATTAATCAATCTCATTAAGATTGAGGTTGTTTAATATTGCTTGAGATGTAAGTTAGTACTCTGCTCATTTTAATTTCACTTTTGTTTATGAAGAACCAAAGCAGTTTATGATAACCATTCGTACCTTTGCGATGCCTTCACTGGTTGACTGCTGTAATTTTTTACCTTCCATTTTTTTACCATACGACATATTTTTAAACACAATTTTCTGTGTTTCTACCTGTACAGATAAAGAGGGAGATCAAAATACTACAGAACCTTTGTGGAGGAACAAATATTGTGAAGCTGCTTGATATTGTCAGAGATCAGCACTCAAAAACTCCTAGCTTGATATTTGAATATGTCAACAGTACAGATTTCAAAGTATTGTACCCAACATTGACGGATTATGACATTCGCTACTACATATATGAGCTGCTTAAGGTTGATTTTTTATCCTTTTCTTCTAGTACCTATATACTGATTTTATGTGATTTTTTTATCGTTGAGGTTGCATCTTAAAGAAAACAGTTGCAGATTTAGAGCACATAGCAAGTAGAAAATAGTCTTAAGATAGTAAAGGCTTTTGTACTTGCTTTGAGATCTGAAATAAATATTTTTTGTTTCAACAACCTATCTTCAGCTTCCTGAACACTAAGGTGCATGCCAGTTGGTTGAGAGTTTTCAGATAAATAGATTCATCTTTGCACACTCTCAATCACCCATGATTGTCCAATATTGCAATTATTGTTGAATGTGGACATAAGAATCATGAGTGGCTAGAGCAGTCTGGGATTGTAAATGTTTGATGTTTATGATGAAAACATTCTTAGTCGGCATGCACTTTTTCCTGATATATTTTAGCATCATAATTTTAAATTCTAAACGAGTGGTTGGAAAGTAACCTCAAATTTTATAGTCCCAAGTCTTAGATAGTTAGATCCTACTGCTGATTTGTTTCTTCTTGCGGTGGGATGTGACTGGCAACAGCAGAGAGCAGTGGTCTTAGCTGGGATACAAAAGAGCCTTTTCTCGTAAGTAATGAAGTGAAGGTTGTTGTGATAAATTTTTTGAGCATGCAGACAGTATCAATGCTAATATAGGTGTGAAAATGCCTCTACATCAATCTTTTAGGGTGTTTTACGTTGTTTATAATAGGTGCTTTCACCATTTTTAGCACAAGTAAGTTATTTATTTATTTGTTTACTCATTTGACAAAATCTAAGGTAACAATGTGTAAAAGACCTTTACAAAAGCAAATGATAGAAATCTACAATTTGGAAAGCTACGTGTTCTAGCTTTATCTCAACTGTAGATGGTAAAAACCCACCCACAAGGCCACACATATGGCTTCTATTTTTTTTGCCCCTCTCATGCCATCTATTATCTAGTAACTGAAAATATCAATTTGTTCTCCTTTCTCTTTATTTATTTACTTTACTGCTATATGATCTTTCCTAATTTAACCGCTCACATTCTTTCTTATAGACTCCAGAAAGATCATATTGTTGTTTTACATTGCGTATTTGCAGGCACTAGATTACTGCCACTCACAGGGAATTATGCATCGAGATGTCAAACCTCACAATGTCATGATTGATCATGAGCTTCGGAAGCTCCGGTTGATAGACTGGGGGCTTGCTGAATTTTACCATCCTGGCAAGGAATATAATGTCCGTGTTGCTTCAAGGTAATGTATATCTAAGCAAAGGTCAATTGTGACGATGCGTAAATTCTCTAATTGTTTTATTGCCATTGTCAGAGATAATCTACTAGCATTTCTTAAAGTGAATTCCCTAGTTTTTTAAGGGGTATTTTCTGATTGGACATTTCTAACTTTCTTCAGATGAACAGATATAATTTGACAAAAGAATGGTTCTGTCTTACTCTCATGAGCCAGTAGACCTTTATTTGGAGGCATTGATCAGTTTCCTTAGTTTCTTTTCCCCCTCAATGAAATGCAGTAGAGGACCTTACTCTTTTATTTATATTTTTTATTATTTATGATATAGCATATCCTACTTTCTATACCTTTTCCTTCTTACTGGAGTCTGCAACTATAAACATATTACCTGTTCAGTGAAAAGTTCTACTGCATAAAATACCCAATATAGACAGTTAAGGAACATGAAATCTCTTTGTTCTTTTTAATTTCAAGCATTCATTGAACTGCCTTTTTTATGATGAATACAAGGTGGGTGGAGTTCCTAGAAACATGTTAAATACCTTTGGTGACCTTCGACCTCTCTCACAAGCACTGTCAATAGATCAAGTTTTACTACTTGTTCTTTTTTTATTTTTATTTTTTACTTTTTTACTGATACAAGTTTGGGAGTTAAATCATTTTCCTAGCATCTTCTACTCAGTTGTATTGGAGAATTCTAGAAAACACAAAATGAAACTTAGGGTTTTGAATTATATCTTGTTCATGTGAAGTCATGCATGAATATAACTTGTGCATCTGTTGCCACTCAGATATTTCAAAGGGCCTGAACTTCTTGTTGATTTGCAAGATTATGACTACTCTCTGGACATGTGGAGTCTTGGATGCATGTTCGCTGGAATGGTATAGATCTCATCCATTGTGAAGGGTAGTTTAAGTGCAGATGTAATATTGAGCTAATCAAGTTGCTTGTTGGTTTTATTTATGGTTGATAAGTTCAATGTCTGCTAATTATCAAAGTCTTCTAAAAAAATATTTTTTATTTTTAAATTAATTAATTAATTAATTTATTTTTGTGCTTGCAGATATTCCGGAAGGAGCCATTTTTTTACGGACATGACAACCATGATCAGCTTGTTAAAATTGCCAAGGTGACAGCTATCTCTCTATTTGTTTGTCTTAGTATATATTTCTTTCTCTGGAATGTTTACTTATACATTTGCTTCTGTGTCCCATATCAAAAATTTTCAGTTTGGTGAAATTTCCATACTTGATTACAGTATAAAGTGCAAGTTAGTGGGATGCTGCTGTATCTAAAATTCTAAATACAATATTGAATGAACTGACAACATTGTTGAATGGAGTAATTATATTGTTGAATGGAGGAAAAGAAACATTAGAATCTATGAATTACAAACTAACAACATCGAAATGAAGTATAAGTTAAGCATTATTACGAGAAGAAATGATCATCCGGTTCTCATTGATTGCCAGGAAAAAAGTCTTCATTTTCATTGGTTAGGACCATCCACATTATGGTTTACTTATGATGTTTGCAGAACCAAATTAGTAAGGTTAAAATGGAGAAGTTTTTCTACCATACTATGTGTTGTTAGAAGAGTCACAGGAAATTGAGTGGAATATTTTGTAAGGTGGGTGTTGAGATGTTCCTTGTTTCATGGGTCCGGTTTTTTGGAAATTGAAAAAAGTCTAGAATATGCAAATCTGAAAATCTGAGAGGATCGCAATATTATAAAGAAAAAGAATGCATTCTAAAAAGCTTTGAAATTACTGCACTCAAGGTTAGGAGAGAAAATGGTGCTATATGGTTTTGGCTTTGCAAACTGGTATAGATGAGTGTATTACTTAAAAGGATTTGTAAGGAGGTTGGGTTTGAAGTAATTAGGACTCGAGGTAGATCAAAAGAATCCAAACATAACTTAACCCAGACCGTAAAGGCTTACGACAGTTGATAATCTAATAGAGATGGCCCTGGGGAAAATGATTGTTCATCTGAACCAAAAAAAGGGCAATAAAGGCCTTTCGTCATTGTTGATGATCAAATGGAAATGTAATTGGTTCATTTGATAAGCACCATGCATGTGTAGTGAATCATCAATCAGGACCTAACTCTTTTGGTTTCATCTCAGGACTCTAAGTTGATTGACATTAGATGTTTGCTTCTTCGTAGGCTGCTTCATTCATGGGGAAAATGGGAGAAAAGAAAGAGTAATAAACAAAATTGTAATTGGTTCACGTACATGTTCATATTACATCGTTGCCATTTAAATCATGACCGTAAGGCAGTAGATGTTTGCTTCTTTGTAGGCTGCTTCATTCATGGGGGAAATGGGAGAAAAGAAAGAGTAATGAACAAAATTGTAATTGGTTCACGTACATGTTCATATGAGGTCGTTACCATTTAAATCATGACTGTAATGGAGTAGAATGATGTTCATTTGGCAGAAAAAAACATGGCAAATATTTTGATGGTTTAAAATAATTACCTCTCATATTTTTCAGGTGCTGGGAACAGATGAATTAAATGCTTACTTGAACAAATACCGTTTGGAACTTGACCCTCAACTTGAAGCGCTTGTCGGAAGGTACATATCTAGTTTTTTGGATAAGCTTTCTACCATTGAAGTTCGCTAGCTGGGGATATCTTACTTGAATATGTTTTCCTTGCTTCAATTTCTGCAGGCATAGTCGGAAACCCTGGTCGAAATTTATTAATCCAGACAATCAGCATCTAGTTTCCCCTGAGGTCCATGTTAAATATATATGTTTTTGTAGGCAGCTTGCTGTCTGATAATTAGTTTTGAACTTTTCTGTTGGTGTTTGTATAACTTAAATGTCTACAACTTTGCTTGATATGTGTGACGTACAGGCAATCGATTTTTTAGACAAGCTGCTCCGCTATGATCACCAGGATAGACTTACAGCACGAGAAGCAATGGTAAATTAATTTTAACTAGCTTACTTTCTAAGAAACTAGTTGATTGAATTCTCTTTTGATGTTTAGGCTGTTGCATTGTTATTCTTTTTACAATTGGAGTGTACATTGGGATATTTTTGTCTTGAAGGATATAGTTAGGCTGGCAGTTAGCTTGGACGTATTCCAGGCTGATTTACTGTGCACTTCTAAAGTTATCAGGCCCAGTTCTTAGACCTGATAAACCTGACTAGGGTACAGGTACGAGTCAGTTTAAGTTATATGAAATGGGTGCACTCTGATTTGATGGTGTTTTGGGAAGGGGTCCCTTGAAGATGATCAAAGTCATGGATTTGAGCCATGACCAAGCTTGAATTTGTGATGCAAGATTGACTAGAAAACCAACTCTTCAACCTTAAACTATAATGTAGAATGACTAGAAATGAAAAATAAAAGGTTTTTAGTTCTCCTTTATCCAAAGCTCCCAAAAAAGAGAGTTTAATGTAGCCTACCCATGTCTTGAAAACATCCGAAAATGGTGGTGTTCTTTGAAAAGTTGGTTTCTTGCTTAGGGTTTTTGACTTTAGCAGTTTCAGTTATTTCTGCAAGAATCACATTATTCAGAAAAATAAAAATTAAAACATCATTTAAGTTAGGTTTTGACTAAAATTAACAGGAAATATGAGGCTTATCCTAATATTGTGACTCCTCTTTAAATGTTTCTGCCCTTTAACTTCAAGTTTTTCTGGCTTTTGCGCGTTTCAGTGCAGGCGAAAACCAATTATTTGGGCATGCATTCTGGGTCTGATCATCTGATATGTGCAAATCTTACACAGTTGGTTTATGGCATGACAGCGTTGGTTTACATATTTAACTGTTCCACTCATTTCATGATATCTTTCAAGCCGAGTGCTCTGAAAAGCTTTATCTCTTTATTAATTCCAGCACTTAATTTATATTGACTAGTGAGAGCTTATGATGTAATCCTTGTGTTATTCGCCACTTCACTCTTTTTCCAGCTTCCTATGGAGGGCAGCCCTCTGGTCTCTTAGTTCTCTTCTTGTCATTTCTCTAGTCTACTCTGCCTTAACTCTCTTCTCTAGTGTCTAGTACTCTGGCAGAAGGGTCCATCAGTAGCTGCATTCAGGTCTCCTTTGTGACCATCTTCATTGCTCCAGGTTCTATACCATCAGAACAAAGGCATACCAATGAATTTTGAAAATCTTACTGAGACGGCAGCCACCTAAATACTGTTTTAAAAAATAGAATGTATGAAAACCAAGCCATCAGCTTGTCTTTATAACCCAGCAAGGTTCTCTTACCGCTTAGATTCTCTTCAATTTATTATTTATACTCAATTTGGCCAATAGCACTTAAAGACTTTGTGTTATGCCCTAAATAAAAAGGCCAAAGTTCAGGCGCAAAAGTGTGTTATGCCTCGATCCAAACTTATATTGAGTCATCTGAACTTGGCATTGTACAACCATTTGTATGGTGTTCCTACAAGTTTTTAAGTTACCAAAAATAACATGTCTTAACAAACACAGCAACAACATCAATAGCAGCAGTCTTTTTTCCACATTTTTTGAGTCAATCCTGTTCTTTCTTTAAATTTGTCAGAAACTATCTTATCCATTACATTGACAACTATCATGTCCTTAATTGCTTCTGACCAAGTTTTCCTCGACCTAGCTCTAGTCCCTCTCCTTTTCCTTATTGGTGCATTTACTAGCGTCAATTGCACATTGTTAAGCTATCTCAATCTATTCTCTCATTTTATCCTCAATATGAACAGCCTAAAAATTCTTAGAATTTCACTCATCAATTATCTTAGCTCTTGGTTATATCCCACGCATCTATACTAGGATTGAGGTGTTAAAATTATTAATTTCTATTTTTGCCCTCTCAAATTTTGATAAATTCTAACTATGTCATTATCTCTAATAAATCTTTCATTAAATAATACAACCTCTTATTAACTATACACCTCCTCACCTTCCTAAATAATTATAATTATCAATAATATTATAACTATTAATTATTTAAAAATATACAATAAAATAATTTAGAAAATAAGTATACACAATTATTAGTTGTAACCAATTAAATTATTATAATAACTATTTATGAATTATAATAAAATAATTAATTTTTTTACCCTCAAATTTTGATAAAGTCTAACTAGGTCATTATCTCTAATTAATCTTTCATTAAATAAATATAACCTCTTATTAACTATACACCTCCACACCTTCCTAAATAATTTATAATTATAATTATCAATAATATTATAACTATTAATTACTTAAAAATATATAATAAAATAGTTTATAAAATGAGTATACACAATTATTAGTTGTAACCAATAAAATTATTATAATAATTTTTTATGAATTATAATGAAATAATTAAAATAATAGTACCAATAGAATAATATATTACTAAATACTATTAAGAATTATACTATAATTCAATGAGAAATAAAATAAATAGAATAAATATTTAATCACATAATTTGTGTAATTATTTTAATAATATCACATAAATTATGAATTGCACTATTTATTTAGTATTATATTATTATTATTATAATAATTTTTTATGAATTATAATGAAATAATTAAAATAATAGTACCAATAGAATAATATATTACTAAATACTATTAAGAATTATACTATAATTCAATGAGAAATAAAATAAATAGAATAAATATTTAATCACATAATTTGTGTAATTATTTTAATAATATCACATAAATTATGAATTGCACTATTTATTTAGTATTATATTATTAAATAAAATAAATAAATAAATTAATATTATTTTTAACGTACTTTCTCAAAGATTATTACATGATACCGAATAATCTATACTTGGTAATGATTGAAAACTAATCTTTTTACAACAAAATTATTTAATATTAATAATAACACTATTAATGGTTAATGATAGTATAATTAAAATTTATAAATATTTATAGTACTAAATTATTTAAGAGCATAATCAAAAAAATTAAATTAGATAAATATTTTATAGTATATAGATAGTGTAATTAATTAATAGTATTATTTAAACTAAGAATTATAATATTGAATGAGGTAAATTATAGTAAACCCCTATGAACTTTCAGCATCTTGCAGTAAATAGATCCTATGAACTCTGAAATCACAATAAACTCCTAATAACTTTTATAGAAAGTCCCCATTATTTTTAGATAAGTTACACCAAACCTGTAATAGCTTTCAAAATGCCTTTTTATGCCATTTTTCAGTTCTAATTTATAGGGGCTATGTGCAAAATTCAATAAGTTATTGGGGGGTTTCTTTGAAATAGAAAAGTCATTAAGGGTTTAGTATGATTTTGAAAGTTCATAGGGACTAAAAGTTCACAACGGCTTAGTATAATCTACCCTATTAAATAATTATAATGAGAAGTAACTATTGTAATATATTGCAGGTGTTAAGTGTAACTATCTAGGGAACATGAGCAAAAAACTAGTAAATTAATGCAGCTTAGTTAATTTAGAGTTAACAATTTTTAAATTGGAGGAGCATATTTAAGAGAACTTATAGAATTGACAATTTTATTTAAGAACAATTTTAGATTTGAAGAACCTACTTAAAAAAGGCTAGCACTGGGCGATCATTATAGGAAAAACATTCAAATATAATAACTACACAATAATTATTTATTCATATGTTTCTTTTTAAGCAATATTATTATACAATTTTATTTATTAACAGATAGTTTTACTATTCAATAAAAAAATTTAAAACTTAAAGCATGTATTTTCACGTGCAAAGCACGTGCATTATACTAGTATTCATAAAATTCTTTTGCCACACTCATTTTCTACGCATGTTATTTCTTAGTTATCTAACATTTGGATCATTGAAATATTGTTGGTTTTATAACTGCCATATAGAATTTTGTTCCTTCAGTTTGATAGGCAATCTACGATCGCATAAAATTCCAAGCGGTCCACTTTAATCACCATGATTTGATTTCAGAATCACATAGTATTCCAATCAAGTTTCTACACATGCTATGTCCTTGTGTTGCAGGCCCACCCATACTTCCAACAGGTGAGAGCTGCAGAGAATAGCAGAAACAGAACCTAGCGCCATGTTGCGTATGCTCATAAACTACTATAATGTTCGCAAACGGCTGTCATATATTCTTATTCCTAAAACACCTGTTTCATGTAACTTTTCTGCTTTGTTTGCGCCTGTTTGATTGCAAAGTCATGCAGAACTTTACTTCTATGCAACAATTACATTTAATTGTACTTCCTGTATGAGATAGGCATTATCCAAATGCATTTCAAAACGGCACTCTTAGTGTTATCTCCACAAGCGCAAGGGTGATCGTTCTTAATGGTCTCAATATGTAGAGACTGGCTAAGCGAAACGCCTGATAGTTATTTTGATTCGCCCTTTTTATTCATTTCTTCTTTATATCACTTGTCAATATTAATATACGGGGATGTTTGGTTCCTGGTGTGCTTTTCGCGCTTAATTTTGTTGAATTGGTAAACCTGTTACGAATTTGTCAAATTGGTAGTCCTGTTTCGAAGCACAATAAGGTCTTAAGCAGGGATAAATATGTTCTGTTATCTCTGATTACTGCAACTGAGAGCCTGTTGAGCATTTTGTACAAATGGGACCTAGAAGCGTTCTGTCGAGCAAAGAGGACTACGGATTGATCTGAATTAACATAAACTTATGCAATTAAAGTTATGTTCTGCGCCGAACTGAATAGACAAAAGGGTTTTGTTATTGTTGGTATTGGGTGGCTAAAAGCTCAGCTGCAAACATAATTGAGAGGTGGTCATCTCTTTGGAGTGCCGAACATATTTGGAGTGGTCATGTATATGAATATAAATAAGGATGTTTCTAATATCCATATTTGGCAAAATCAAATACAAATAAGGATCGAACAAGAAAATATGTGAATAAAAATATATACAATAAAACCAGATAAGATCAAGAAAAACTATAGGTTATGTGATACAAGAGAGAGAGAAACTTATGTCAACTTAAGTGGACGTCCACTAAGTTTCTTAGTCATTGATGATCACTTGATTGAGCTACATTGTTGATGATCCGTTCTGTTGAACTTGATCTATATATTCTAAAACCCTAACACACCAAATTTGGGGTGAACCCGTCGTGATTTGACCCTTCGTCGAGCCATGTAAAAAGTTCTATTCATTCGAACCCGTTAAAATTGATACGAGTGGATAAATGGTCAAACCACGACGGGTTTACCCTAAATTTGGTGTGTCGGGAGTTTTAGAATATATAGATTAAGTTCAACGGAGCGGATCATCCATAATATAGCTCAATCAAGTGATCGTCAATGACTAAGAAACTTAGTGAACGTCCATTTAAGTTGACATAAGTTTTTCTATATATATATATATATATATGAGAGTGTGTTTGGCAAAGCCTTACAAAACCGAGCTAAGATCAATTCTAATCCAACTTTCTTTCTACATGGTTCACTATCGTAAACCAACCCACTGGCCTACAAAAGAACTAGTTTAGAGTTTATTTTTGAAAAATGATACAGGCACATCCTCAGACACACCATCAACCACACCCCCTCTCTATCTACAGTGCAGGGGCCCACATTAGATTTTTTTTAAAAATCTGATGTGAGGCCCCATGCACTGTAGATAGAGAGGGGGTGTGGTTGGTAGTGTGCCTGATGGTGTGCCTGTAGCGCCTCCCTTTTAGCTTAGGAACACATATTTATGAATGAGGAAACTCTTTTACTTCTGTGGGCTTGACTTGGTGAGCAACTTTCCCTTGGTGGATGTTTGGGCTAATTCCTCTCCATAAGAATTTATTTTAGCTTGGGCCCGTGTAGTGTAGCAATTTAATGTTGCGGGCTATAAGTGGGGGCCCGGCCTCAGGGCTTTGCAATTTTTGCAAAGCCATTAGAATGCCAAACGGATTTAGGCAATGCGGTTTGAGTAACTATGTGCATAGTTGGAGTGGTCATGTATATGAATATAAATATGGATGTTTCTGATATCCATATCTAGCAAAATCAAATACAAACATGGATCGAACAAGAAAATATGTGAATAAAAATATATACAATAAAACCAGATAAGATCTAGAAAAACTATAGGTTATGTGATACAAGGAAGTCTATATATATATATATATAGGGAAAATTACTTCAAGGCCACAAAATTAAAAAAACAATGTGCAACAGCCCCCTGTACTTTTATTATTTTGTATAAACTCAAAATACACTGTAAAAGTTCATTTCAGCCCCTCCAGCCCACGAGAATGAGTTGTAATTAACACAATCCTGACTCTACCCTTTTCGCCCACTCCGCTACAGCCTCTGTGCGTTGGTAACGGTGCCCGCCCACTCCGTTACTATCGAGACTCTCTCTCTCTTCTCTCTTCTTCCGGCGAAAAACCAAAATCTACACTCTAGGGTTAGGTCGGAATCGGATCGAAGATGGCGAAAAAATCGGCGAACGAATTCGAAGTTGTTCACCATCCTCCGCCGCCGCTGCAACGTCAGGAACATGCACCGATGAGCGACGAGCGAGAAGACTCGCCCTCGCCTTCCAAGACCGACCGTGGTACACATTCTCTCACATCCTCCTCCGTCTCCAAGTCTTCGTCCACCCATGCGTCATCATTAGGGAATGGCAGCACCGATGAAGCCACCCAGACGTTGTTGAGTTTCCAAAGGGGTGTAGGGAGAAAAAGAAAAATTACAAGTTCACAAAACGCACCATAGAAATCCATAAAGAAGTAAGATAATGTTATATGTTATATTTTCCAATTTAGATAGATTAAGGTGCATTGTGAACTATATGCCTGGACATTGGTTGAAGGACATGTTAGCTGATACCTTAATGTTAACTGTGAACTATATACCTCTTATTAATGTTAAGTTTGGCTATTGTTTGTTAAGGTGTATATCGTAACTGTTACAGTTCATCGTTGCATGTTAACTATTGGATGTTGGATGTTAAGTTAAGTGTGGTTGATGTTAAATATTTAATTTAATACAAGAAAAAGTCAGGTGCTGCTGAAATTAGACCTACTGCTAGTTTCGTCGCATATTGTAAGTTTATGAAAGTCCTCGAATCGAGAATGCGACAGTGTCATTAGGATGCATACCAAGGGTGTACATTCCAGCATTATGTAAAGTTTGGCCTCACAGCAGTAGATCGACTCACGCTGGAACTTGTATTGAGTCACTATAAGGGTAATGAAGTGGCGTTTTCTCTGTCCGATGCCGAAAGTAGGAGAGAAAAAGTTGTTAATTTTGATATGGACTGGGTGCATGAACATACAGGTTTCCCAATTGATAGGGAAATAATTTACAATAACAGAGATCCTTTCCCTAGGCTTTGGGTGGAGTATTTTAGTGAACATTTTACTAGAACCCCAAAGAATCAGCGAAGAATATGCGGCGATATGTGGAAGAGCTACTGCAATCTCTTGTTGAATCAAGAAAGGAGAAGGACATTAAAGATTTTGTGTTACTGCAGATACTTTATCAATGTTTAATGATGTGGTGCCCTAGCAGTGTCCAAGGTATCCTAAGGCTCTTGTCAAATATGTTGATTCAATTAAAAGAGTGAGGAATGTGGCCTGGGGGAAATACATCTATGATCAGACGAAGAAAGGAATTAAGATTGCCATGGAAGGTTTGCATAGGTCAGGAGTAAGCTATGTACCTGGTTGCATGCCTTTGATCCCTGTAAGTTATATTAAATATTTTATATTGTTGTGGTTAACATGTGCATGTGAACGCTTGCATGTATTCTGTCAACTTACGTCAAGAAACCATTAAGGCTAACTGGTTCATGTTAACTATTTTAAGGTTCTGGTTAACTATATTCAGATTCATGTTAACTATAGTGTTTCTAGTGTTAAAGTTAACATGCATACTAACATGTATTATTTGTTTGCAGCTATGGTACTATGAAATGACGGGGATTAAAAGATATGCCTTGTGGAATAGATTCAAGTCACCCCTCACTAACTGGGTGAAGATTGGTGAGAAGTATGGATCTTTCTGAAAGCGCACAATAGTTGCCAAGGCTGAAAAAGCTAGCATCCATGTTGTACATAAACCAATAGCTGAAATTGGCACATGGGTTGAGAAATATCCAATTAGAAGGCCATTGATGAGGGAAGATGATCATACGAGGATTAGAAGTGAAGGGATTGTACCACAATTTCAAGTTGTGCGTACGGAGGGGAAGAAAGCAGCTGTAAGGAAGATGAAGATTGAAGAAGAAAAGAAGGGTGAAAAGAAGGAAGAAGAGAAGAAACATTTCAAGAGAGGGTCAATAGGTTTGGTAAGTTCTAAGGTGCTAAATCACAATAGTTAACATGTTAAAAAACAATAGTTAACATGTTAACCACAACAGTTAATATGTTAGCCACAAGAGTTAACATGTTAGCAAAAAGAGTTGACATGTTACCTACAAGAGTTAACATGTTAGTCACAACAGTTAACATGTTACCTTTAAGAGTTAACATGTTACCTTTAAGAGTTAACATGTTACCTACAAGAGTTAACATGTTAACCATAACAGTTAACATGTTAGCCACAACAGTTAACATGTTAACTATAGATGATTGAAGAACCTTTAATTTATATGTGTTAGCTGTGGGCCTCTAACTGTTAACCTTTATAAGCATCATGTTAACTGTTTCTTATTTCTAAATTAAGATTTTGTCAAAAGTCATTGATGAGGCTTTCGAAAGGGAAGATGAGATTGAAACGTTACCAGTTGAGGAGCAACTGAAATTTTGGAGAAATGCTGCTAAAGCAAACCAGAGACTTTGTCGTACACTGAGGGTCTCGAAGAAATTGTATTGTCAAACTGTGACGCCCCTGGGTTCACACAAGGCTGCAGTCCAAGGTGAAACCAAGAATGTCAAACCTGCCATGCACCACACCGTGCAATAACATGTTTCACCATCACAATTAACATCTGTCTAGTAGAATCAATAACTGGTGTAGGTACAAAACAGGTAAAAGGTTATACAAGGAATACTGATGAAATGATAACAGTCACATAAATATCTCATCATCCAACAATACAGAAATACATAGCCAAAATCTGAGTAGATAAATCTGGAATACTCAACAAGTCTCATATACAAATGTCTGACAAGAAGGAAATAAGGCACATAGCCTTTACAACTTCTAGAACAATACTGTCAAATGTCTAATAAAAACTACAATGGAGCTCCAACATGAACAGAACTAGACAGCTAAACACTAAGGTGTGTCGCCATCAACCTGCGACTCTCCGGGCTCCTGGCTCGTTACCTGAAAGGGGGAGGGAAAACGAGCGTCAAGCGCTAGCGAGCAACATCACAACCAACCCCAAGGGAATAGGGCTCGTTGTATAAGAAAATACAGTTATCACAAAACATATATATAGA